AATGAGGTGAGACGCGACCTTTTTGAAAGTTTTCTCAAAACTCTTAGAGCTGTGAAACGTTTTCAAGATTGCCAGACCTGTTTCAAAGCGTTAAATTGATTTTTTTTATACTTCAAATACCATCTAGAAGTTTAATACAGATTTTTGAAATGAATTCTGATGTCTTATGTGCTTACATACAGATGTATACACCTACTTATTTATAAAAAAAATTTTAAAAAAATTGGCAAGCCTCGCTATAGAAAATGGTCAATCTGAGGCTCAAAGTATCTGAGACATTTGATTGTATTCTTCAATTATGTTGATTACACCAAATGTTAAATACGCCAAAAAACAAGCAGTTTTTGGGCCCGTTGCTTTCGAGTTGCCGTATTTTCGAGCTCGGTTTTCGAAGCTCGGTTGCTTATAAGATATTATAGCTGCAAGAACGAATACGATATTATAGCTCTATTCATTGGTGCGAACGATCTGTTTACGTAAGACAAAAAAGACTCAACGAGAACACCCGAAGACGTTGCTGAAGAATTATCCCAACTTGGCCTACGGTTGACAGAACGTTGCAATAAAGTTTTCATTATCGCTCTACCACCCAGACTCGGAAGACCAGCCCGAACGGAACTTGTAAACGATATTCTTCGCAAAAAGAAAGAACTCTGGCGATATCGCGGTATATCGAAAGGAATAACCACCAAAACTGTTCTATCTTCCGACGAAGTGCATTTAACAACAGCATCGCTTGCGAGTCTCCAAACGATTTTGAAAAAGAAGATCATCTACAAGAAGTTCTGTGTAAAAACTGATAGCGAGGGCTACTCGAATATATACCACTGCGGCAACAACACTTGTCGGTGTCATCATTTTCACAGAGACTGAATTTTCTATTGATACCCTTTAGGTATCGCCAGATTTGATGTCTTTGTGAATTCACATCTATAAATAAAACCGTTTTCTCCCGCTACTGATACTTCAGTCCTCAATCGGCGCCCTTTAGGTACCACCCTGAGGACTGGAGTACACTACCTAAACCTTCATCCCCCAAACACAGTTTCCACAGAGATAAGAGGACGTAAACATAAATAAAACTGAGAATGTCAAAGGACAAAAAACCTTGCAAAACATGCAAGAAACCCATAAACGAAAATGACCCAATATACAATTGCATCACCTGTAATTGCTCTATGCACCTTGAAGTTGTCTGCACTGGCCTCTCGACCGTTGCACTCAATGGAATACTGGAACTTGGTAACAACGCACTACTGATATGCAATACCTGTTTGTCCAACGGAAAAAGAGATCAAGTATTCAGAAGCACAGCATCACATGACAAAAGTGAAAACATCAAAAAAATTGAAGAAGAAATTTCAAAGCTAAGTAAAGTAGTAGCCGAAGTCTCGACAAAAATGGAAAATATTAAAGATCCCATCCAAAGCCTGCCAATAGCAGAACAGGGTAAAACCTGGTCACAAGTAGCGGCGCAAAACATAATCAAACCCCTGAGCAAAGGATTGAGAATAAGAGGGGTCCCCGAGATCAAGGAAAGAGATGGAAGAAAAAGACTTGACCATGACTATGATGAGGTAAATAAAATCATGAAATTCTTAAACCTCGAATGCAATATCATTGATCTCAAGCGTGTGGGAAAGTTCAGCGAAGAACGAGCAAACCACAGAACTATACTGGTACGAGTAACCTGTCCAAGAGAAATAGACTTGATACTATCATCAACACCGGCCCTAAAAATTTATGACAAAAATGTCTTCATAAGTAAGGAACTCTCAGTCGAAGAAATGAAACTGGAAAACGCCATCCTGAGAGAACGTAGAAATCTCATCAGCAGTGGTAAAAACCCCAAAAATCTTCAAATCAGAAACCTAGAACTGCATGAAAAAGTAGACGACACCTGGAAAAAAGTTACAATTAAACCGGAGGAAAACAGCACAATTCAGACTAGAAATGACAACTGACTAGAATCGCTGAATGTTATGTCATTCAATACACGAAGTATACTGGATATAAATAGACGTATGAAACTTAGCAATATAATACTATCGAACGATTATGACATCATTTGCTTAAGCGAAACTTGGTTAACTGAAAATATCCCTGACAACGCGCTTTTTCTGCCTGCACACATAATAACTAGATGTGATAGACCTACCAACTCAACAAAATCGAAACACGGGGGCGTGCTTATTGCTGTTAAGCAATCCCTAGCTTTCACAAAACTTGAAATACACACTACGGACTGCGTTGGACTCCTCCTTAACACTCCGACACCTCTCATCCTGTATCTACAGTGCCCCGAACGAAAGCAAATATAAGCTATCCACAGATGACTTCAACAAACTATTGAATATGCTAACTGACTACTCAAATGAATTTCAATGCCCAAATATTTTATTGGTTGGTGACATCAACTTCGCTAATACGCATTGGCAAACCTTGCAATCAACCCAAAAACACGAACAATTAGTACTGCAGACTTTTACTGATATGAACTTTCAACAGTTTATCGAACCCCCTCATGACCAATTAGATATTGTCCTTTGCAACAACCCCGACATTATTTTAAACACCACGATAGACAACCATATGAAAAAACACTTCTCACACCAAGAAAGAGAATTATCAGACCACAACCCTTTTCTAATCACGATATCATCTCTTACACACAATGACGAAAAAGACACTCCCATACAACACGGATCCGACTTTCTGGACTTTGGTGTCTTCTCATTAAACAACGTCGATTGGATTACTTTAAACAAATACATTTTGGAGCACCCATTTCAACCGTACTGCTACTCTAACATTGACCACTTAATCAACTCATGGTACCTCTGGCAATATATAGCACTAGAAAAACACATGAAAAAACAGACCAAACACCGTATGAACCTAGCACCTTGGATCACACCTGAAACCTCCAATATTATCAAAAGACTCAACACAGCATCAAAAAAAGTAGCCTTTAAAAATACTCATACTAATAACCGCAATCATGAAAGACTTAAAAACCTTGTAGATCATTTATCCGAATTAGATCAGAAAAATTTCGAAGAATCAACTTTCAAGGGCAGAAATTTCTCAAAGCTCCAAAAATACTTTAAAAGCATACGAAAAAACTCAAGTACTCCAAAAACAATGTACTGGAATGAAAAAACCGAATCAACAGAGCACGGTAAAGCTAATCTTCTAAACAATTACTTCGTAAGCGTTTTTAACATTAAACAGAATGAAAACATTTTACCAATAGCTGAATTACCTGGCTCAATCAAATGCTTCAATTTCTCTGAAAATGAGATATACGACATCCTTAAAACATTAAACCTCCAAAAAGCAAGAGGACCAGATAGACTCGGTAACACAGTCCTAACCAATTTAGCAGCTAGCATAACTTCATCTCTAAAACTGATTTATAACACCATCACCAACAAAGCAACATTTCCAACGATCTGGAAACTTAGCCAAACCATCCCAACTTTTAAAAATGGAAACAAGCAATCGGTCACAAACTACAGGCCCATCAGCCTGCTAACTGCAGTATCCAAAGTCTTAGAGAAACTGATCTTCCTTAAAATCTCACCAAAGATCTTCTCGCAAATCCATGACAGCCAATTTGGCTTCTGTCCTAAACGATCGACAACTCTGCAAATGCTCCAATTCCTCGACAAAATCTATGACGACTTTGATAACCCTAATATCAAGTCTCTACAGGCAATATACTTAGACTTCGAAAAGGCTTTCGACAAAGTTCCTCACGACTTGTGCATATATAAACTCAATAAATTTGGCATATCAGGAAACGGACTTAAACTATTAGCAAACTACTTAACCAACAGAAAACAGCAAGTACGAATAGGTGCGGCAGTATCCAGCCATCTTGAAGTTAGTAGCGGCGTACCTCAAGGCTCACTGTTAGGGCCAGTATTCTTCATTACATTCATCAACGATTTACCGTCATCACTCACCAACTCGTGCTATGGTTATGCAGACAATTATAAAATTGTTGCAACGAACCCTTCCGTGCTCCAACATGACCTAATCACGATCAACTTATGGTGCAAAGATATTTCCATGAATCTTAATTTGAAAAAATGTCACAATATAATATTCAAAGACCCCCAACTTGACCTAAACATGTATCTCGGTGACCATATACTTGAAAAAACCTGTTCAGAAAAAGACCTTGGTATACAAATAACCAACAACCTAAACTGGTCAGCACACGCAAAAATAAGAGCCCAAAAAGCAATAGGCTGCTTATTTTTAATTAAAAGAAATATTTCAAAATCAGCGAGCTTAAAAATGAAACTGAACTCCTACTGTGGAAATGTAACCCCAATTGTATCATATGGCTCACCCATATGGAAAGCAAATAAGTGTGAATTAAAAATTATTGAAGATGTCCAAAGAAAAGCTACACGTTGGATACTGTCATGTAACAACATCAACTATAAAGACAGACTGATTAGATTAAAGCTGCTAGATTAAACGACATTCTCTTGCTTCATAAAATAATAAACGAACAATACAACTTCCATTGGAGACAATTTGTTCAGTTCAAAGAATCTACAGCCCCAACAAGAAGATCAACGAAAAATAACTTAGCGCATAAAAATTATCATTACGAAAAATCGAAAAGCAATTTCTGGCACAGAACACCTATACTAGCAAACAAAATTTTACAGACTCAGGAAGAAGAAGACCTGTTTGCGATGAAATACGAAAGACTCAAATCAAGCCTCAAAAACGTTTTCTGGATATATTTCATCAGTAAATATGAGGAAAGTGTCCCATGCACATGGAGAATAAACTGCTGCAATAGCTGTGTAAACTCAAAAAAACTATAAAACTCAGTTTAAAACTCCCAATGCGGGGCATTTTAGCCCCATGACTTTATGTCTAAATCATTGTTTATTATTATTTTTATTATAGCAGGTTGCATAAAAAAGAAACTAGGCGTATGCGATCACGACCCCTGCCTCATGCGTACTCACAGTTGACTTGGAGTAGGGTGGTCTGCATGATTGAGCCTGCCCTGTTGTGTGAGTGGCACTCGTACTGGCCCCCATCCTTAGGCCGCACTTGACTCAAAACCAGAGTCCCATTGTCCGTCACCCGCACCCTCTCCCCTGCTGCAACAGAGGCAGCAAGCTTTTCATTTGGCTTCAAAAGAAAACCCTCCTCACCTCACCTCACAGTCCTAACTGTTTGGCATTACAAGCATTCCTCCTAATTGTCTATTAAAACTGCTGTTCTCAGCTGATACAGTGGTTCTTGCAGGGCTCCAATCGAAACTGACTTTCCCAAATTAAAAAAAAATCAGCCTATTGCTACAGAAGCGAGCAGTGGAAGCTCCTTCGTCTTTCAAAAACGGTGGAAGGGGACATAATTGAATGAGAAGACTAAGCGCATAGTCTGCACGTATGTTGCACGTGGTGTGTGAACCATGTGTGTGGTGTTTGATTCAAATGTGTGGCATGTGAGTCACGTGTGTGGTGTGTGTGTGTGTGTGGTATGCATGTGGTGTGTGGTGTGTGGTGTGTGGTTCATGGTGCGTATGGTGTGTGGTATGTGTGGTGTGTTTGCCTTGTATAATGTATGTGGTAGGTATGGCGTGTATGGTGTGTGTTGCGTGTTTGGTGTATGTGGTGTGTATGGTTTATGTGGTGTGTATGGTGCGTGTAGTGTGTATGATGTGTTTGGTGTGTATGATGTGTTTGGTGTGTATGATGTGTTTGGTGTGTGTGGTGTGTGAAGTTGGTGTGGTGTGTGTGGTGTGCATGGAGTGAATTGTGTGTATGGTTTTTGTGGTGTGTGTGTGTGTGTGGTGTGAGTGTGGTGTGAGTGTGGTGTGTGGTGTAATATGTAGTAGTAATATGTCGGGTAGAAATCGTTGGTACCGATGGAGTCCCCATGTTTTAAGATATGGTACAGACTATCCGGTCTCCACCCTATGTATTCGCAGCTCAATGTCTCCAAATTTAAACGAAACAAAGTTGTTGCTTTTCTTGATAACTCAAGGTTCAATTTCTTTTTCAGTGATTAGGTAGGGCATGAGCAATGATTTAGAGAGGTTATTATCATATTGACCACATTTGACAAAAAGTATTGGTGGAGTGGCGGTGTATCTATCGGTAAGTTGCATCAAATCAACCAATTGGTTTTTTTTAAATCCTGTGACTGTGGTTGGATGGGTCTGTTTCTTCCTCATTCTCGATAACTTCGTCTTCGTTTTGTCTTGCTTCACTTTTTTTGAAACTGCCTCATTAATTGAGGATGCTGAAATTTGTATTTAGTCGGTTTCTGATGTTACTTTCAACTTCCAGAAAAATTGATCGCATCTGCGCTCTATCGTTTTCAACCATTTTTTCAAATTTACAACAAATTCTATGATGAGGGATTGTGGATCTTTGTCACATAAAAACGCGTCTGTCAAGCAAAACTGGATAAGATTTATACCGGAGTCATTTCATGCTTCTCAATCAAAATTTTTTGTTTTCGTAGGTTTAAGCTTCTCAACTCCCAGTTCATGCTTCCCAATTGAAGTTTATGTAGGTTTTAGCTCTTTGAATGGCATGCATACTAGTTCGAATTCAAGATTGGCTGTATTTTTGAATAAAATTTGCTCTTTTATATACCCAAAATTGTACCCATCCTGTTTTTCAAATAAGTCTATTGTAAACTGTAATTAGTTTTGGGATAAATGCTTTCGATTCAATATTTGCATCGGTATACATGTTTGTTGAAATTGTCTGATTTGTAGAAAATCTATCGCATTTTGGACATATAAAGCATTTTGAAGAATTTGTGGATATTTTGTACGTAAATAATGTGATTGTTATATTGTAGAAGCTTTATATATTCTCGTAATAAGCAATATTCTCCATGCTACTTGGCCCACAAAATCTCAACATTCATCTTTGACATCGTAGATAGAGATGTTTTTCTCTGCTAAAACTTCATACTTCGTTTATTGGCAGATTTTAAATCGAAACTCCACGAAACTATTTCAGATCTTAGAGGTGGATGTTTCAAAATTAGTTGTTCCATGCAAATAAATTGCAAGCACTAGAAACACACACAAATTATTTAAACAAATTGTCCAACTGCTGTTTTCATTCACAATTTGTTTTATTTGATTAATCATACGAACAAAAATTTAATTTTAGTTGAAAAAACTAATAATTTTTGTTCAGTTTTCTGTATTTTTTGGCAGTTTTCCTAATTTTGCGATTTTGATTGTTTACATCAAAACAAGGTAGATGTTAAGTAGCGGGGAAAAAATGCAATTTGTTGGAATTCTTAGTGAAAATATTTAAGAATTTCGAAAAAATTTTGTATTTTTTTTATTGTATTAATTTAAATTGCATAATAGTACTCTTCTGTTCCAAGAAGCACAATAGAGCCTCAAAAAGTCTCGGTGAGTCTTTAGCCGCTCTAGAAAGGAGAATATGCACCAAGTTTTTCGACCCAAAGTCACTATAATCATTAATAGCCTGCAGAGCAATTTCACTGAATAAAAATGATGGTAAAGGCGGCATAAGGTCAATAGGAGAGATAATCAGAAGAGTTCTCGGGAAAATTTTAGCTCAGAAACTTGGTGCCGACATTTGCCATGCAGCAGGATCACAGCAAACCTGCGCAGGTCAAGAAGGTGGCATTGAAGCAGCAATTCATGCAGCCAGGGAAATTCTCCAGATGCAGTCCACAGAAGCCGTTCTATTGATTGATGCTGAGAATGCTTTTAACAGACTGAATCGTCACGCCGCCCTTCTTAACATAAGGCATATATGCCCAAAAATCAGCATTTATCCTATCATTATTTATCGGTTGCCAGCCAGACTCATTCTAGGCGAATGAGTAGAAATTTTATCACAGGAAGGCACCACTCAAGATAATTTAGCGATTGCATTTTATGCGCTGAGCTTGAAAAAACTCCTTGCCAGTCTAAACCAAATTAGGTGTCATCAAGAGTGGTTCGCTGACAACGCCGGAGGCCTTGGGAAGCTAGTTCAACTCCGTGAGAGGTTTGATCTTTTGAACAGTATCGGCCCCAAGCTTGGGTATTTTCCGAAACCGTCGAATTGTTGGTTAGTAATAAAAAGCGAGGGTCTCCGAGAGCAAGGTAAGCAGGTCTTTGAGAACACCAATTTCAACATCACAAGCGAAGGACGTCCATACTTGGGAGCGGCAGTTGGCAGCCAGAACTTCAAAAACGACTATCTACGAGACGAAGTTGAAGAATGGTCGATTGAGTTGTCTTCGCTGGAAGCAGCGGTCAAAACGGAGCCCCATCTTGCCTATATTGCTCTCTTCAAGAAGATCTAGAGTCGGTGGAATTTTATAATGAGGACTATTCCTGATTCTGAACTGCACATGCAGCCACTTGAAGCCAAACTCAGGAACGTTATTTCTCTTTTAGTCGACAGAACTCTCAGTGATCTAGAACGGGACATCGTAGCATTGCCATGCTCAGCTAGTGGATTAGGTCTGATAAATCCCACAGAATATGCGTCTCGTTTCTACGAAAACACTGTCAAGCTGACAAACAAACTGAAAAACGCAATTATTGCTAAACAAGATCCTATTGACTACACGAATAGAACTGGACGAGCAGAAAGTTCAGGATCGAACCGTAAACATGCAAAAGAAGCCCTCGAAATTGTGTATTCCCGAAGTGAGATTGAAATGAAGCGCACGCTAGAACTGCTACAGCCAAAAGGAACATCCGCATGGCTGACTTGTCTGCCATCTAGGGAGCAGAATTTTTACATGAACAAAGACGAGTTCCGGGACGCGCTATGTATCCGATATGGATAGCACCTGAGAGGAATGGCTCAAACTTGTGAGTGTGAAGCGGCAAATTATATCGACCATGCTTTGATTTGTAAGTTGGGTGGTTTCGTCATAATGCGTCACAACGCTGTCCGCGACGTCGAAGCCGACTTTTTACGTAACGTGTGCAAGGATGTGAGCGTTGAGCCCGGTCTGATCCAATTAACGGGAAATGAAGAACTTGCAAGTGGGAGCATTCTGGAAGACAATGCAAGACTGGATATTTCTTGTCGAGGTTTTTGGGCGCCGCTGCAGTAAATGTTTCTTGACGTCCGTTTCACACACCCGAGCGCTCCAAGTAATAGGAACCGAAAACTGAAGCCACTCCTAAAGACTCATGAGAATCGGAAAAAAGTCGAATACAACGACCGCGTTCTGCAGGTAGAGCATGCCTCTTTTACCCCCTTGATTTTTGCGACCAACGGCGCCATGGGTGAGGAGGCAGAGCGATATCATGCTATACAGGCGGAAAAAATGAGTGAGAAGCTGAACTCTACGTATGCGGACACTATGAACTACATCCGGAAGAAGCTCTCCATCACAATCTTGAAAACTGCCTTTATAGCCTTGAGAGGACACCGGAAGAAACACCAATACACGACCTGTAGTACCCGAGACAACGACATAAATATTTTGTGCCACAATCAATAAACATTCCTCATCGAATATCACTCCAGAATAGATTGCACACTTTCAGTATTTCTCTATACTTTATACCGATGGTTAATTCAAAACATTTAGCTTGAGTTAATTAAAATTGTATTCTACTTAGAAAAATGTCTCAACCAAAAGTATTTTAGTTAAACACCGGAAGAGAACACTTGATAAAAAAGACTTTTGCCAGATTTATGAAGCTTTTAATTACAAGAATGGCCTCAGCTTGAGTGATCAAGATTTTAATAACGAACCGAGGGAAAATCTTATAAAAAAGGATGATCATAAAATTTTAGTGAATCAATATGCTTGATTTTAAAATGCTTTCACATAGCACATAGTCTTTCTAATAACCTTTATTGAAAAAATATTTGAGTGAATACTTCACTTAATTAGTTAAAATTCAAACTGATCAAAACTTTCAAAAGAAGGAACTTTCAAATCTGATTGGTTGATATCAAAATAGTTTAAGTTTCCATTATAAGTGAAACGCAATTTTAATTGATTCAATTTAAATTGTTTTAAAACTAAATTATAGGAAAGACTCGGAACTGATTATTTGATATCAAAAGTGTTGAAAGTTTCAGAATAATTAAAGTATATTCTGATTGGTTGATTAGTCTCTAATTCAAAACTTACTGAT